TTATTATACATTGCCTAACTTTGCTTTTGATGCTATGCTTAAAATGACTGGTGTAGAGATTGATTTAATATATGACCAAGAAATGTATGAAATGATAGAAGCGGGACTTAGAGGAGGGATGTGTATGGTTTCTACTAAAAAAGTTGAAGCAAATAATAAATACATGGGAGAAGAATATGATAAAAATAAAGAAAGTAGTTATATTAACTATTTTGATGCTAATAATTTGTATGGGTTAAGCATGATACAAAAACTGCCATATAAAAATCTAAAATGGGATGATACATTAAAAGAAGAAGACATTATTAATTATAAGAATAATAATATTGGATATATTCTAGAAGTGGATTTAGAATATCCTAAAGAATTACACGATTTACACAATGACTATCCAATGGCACCTGAGGTTATGAATGTTAAAGCCGACATGCTGTCAGATAAACAAATTGAAATTTATGAATTTTTAAATCATAAAAAACCTACGGATGAGAAAACAAATAAATTAGTATTGAATTTAAATGATAAAGAAAAATATGTAATCCATATAAGAACCTTACAATTTTATTTGAAGCAAGGGTTAAAACTTAAGAAAATTCATAGAGCAATTAAATTTGAACAAAAAGAAGTTTTAAAACCTTACATTGAGTTTAACACTGAGAAGAGGAAGAATGCTAGAAATGATTTTGAGAAAGATGTTTACAAATTGATGAACAATGCCATATTTGGAAAAACAATGGAGGATAAAAGGAAACATTTAGATTTTGAGGTTGTGAGTGATGAAACTAGATATATGAAGTGTGTAAGTAATCCTAACTTCAAACATAGTCATATCATTAATGAAAATTTGGTTGGAGTTGAAAAGCAAAAAACAAAGTTGAAACTAGACAAACCTATATTTATTGGGATGAGTATTTTAGATTTGAGTAAGCAACACATGTATAAATTTTATTATGACGTTATGAAACCTAAATATGGAGATAATATTAAAATGGTATATACTGATACTGATAGTTTTGTATTTCATACTAAAACCAATGACATTTATGAAGACCTTAATACAATTAAACAAGAATTAGATTTTTCAGATTATCCTAAGGAACATAAATGTTATGATGATAATAACAAGAAAGTATTAGGTAAATTTAAGGATGAATTAAAAAGTAAAATAATAACAGGGTTTATAGCTCTTCGTCCTAAATGCTATGCTTACTCAGTTTATGGTGATGATAAAAAATATAAGAAATGTAAGGGCATAGCAAAAGGCACAGTAAGACGTCAAATGAAATATGAAGAGTTTGAGACGGTTTTAAAAACTAATGAGGTTATACATAAGTCATTTAATAGTATTAGAAGTAAAAACCACAGAATTTTTAGTATAACAACTAAAAAAATTGCTCTTAGTAGTTATGAAAACAAAAAATATTGGATAGATAGTGTAAACTCACTTGCTTACGGCCATTATAAAATAAATTCTTTGAAAACGACTTAAAGAAATATTGACTTAATATATTATAATATAAATGGTTGAATTTACTAAAAAAGAGCAAGAAGAAATTATTAATGACTTTTTGAATAAAATAAAAGTTAATGACATTATCAGTAGTTGTAAATGTAAACTAATAAATGAAAAAACTGGACTAACTAAGTTAAATTTACCTAATCCAATTGTTAAAAACATTTGTGATTTTAATTATGTTGAATGCGAGAAATGTTTTTTATTAAGAAATGCAAAGCAAGTTTTACATAAAAGTAATTTACATTCGACATTGAGACAATGTATTTATGATAAATACAAATTGAAATTTGAAGAAAATACATTTCTAAATGATGACTCATCATTAAGAACATATTGTTTTATAAAGTTAAATACATTTCCTACATATGAAAAAGTGAAAACATATATACTGCAAGATAACGAAACATATATTTTAAAATTTTATAATGATATTAAATATTACTACGAAAAATCATATGAAGTTAGTTATGGTGGCAAAACTGGAACAACAAGACCAATTGAAGAATTTAATAATAAAATGATATTTAAATTTATTGATGAGTATGATTTATCAAATAATAAAATTGAAAATGATTGCAAGGAAACATTTTTAAACTACATAAAACAAAGAAACCAAGAATTGAAAATCATAATTGATAAAATATGTGATTATATTAAGGATGAACAGAAGAACAATATAATAGGTAAATTAATGTATGGTGATGTGATAAATGATATTAAAAGTGTTTTAGGAAACTGGAGCATAGGTTTTTGCATTTATGATTTTGCTGATAGAAAATATCCATTTAAAAATAATAAACAGAACTTTAAACAAATACCAAAGATTACAAAGGAATATTTAAATACTAATGACTTTGATTAAAACCATACTATAATAATAACATGTAAAATCTTAGATGTTATAATTATATTGAACTTATGGTTTGTTTCTTATTTTTCTTAATGCCTTAAAAATGACTTAAAGAAATAGTGCCTTAATATAATAAGAGGAAAATGAACGGTGATAAAATCAATAATTATATCAATAAAAAATGCTATGATTGTTGTCACTTCAAAAAAGAAAATATGGAATTGTATAAATTAAATTTACCTAATAAAATATTGAATCATATTATTAATTATTCAATGGATGAAGAAGATGAATGTAAAATTTGTCAGGAATGGAGAGATAATCAAGTTTTAATCAAATGTCTGTTGAGAATAAAAGGGAGACATAATAGAAATGTAGAAGATGATATTTTAATATTTCTAACTGTAAATAAAATACCACCTTACGATTATATTAAACAGTTTCTTAAAATCCCTAAGAAAAAATATGGTATGATTGATGATATATTAAGGATGTTGTGTTATAGTCAAGAGAAAGGAGAAGATGTTAAATAAAATATCAAATTATTTATTGAAAGTAAAAATTTTAATGTTCAAAATACATTGAGAGATATTAATATTATTTTTAAAATGATGTATGAAAGAAGTAAGACAAATCAATTAAATTATTATCCTGTACTGAAATTATAATCATACTATGATTATCACATGTAAAAATATTATATGTTATAATTGTAATATATTTATCGTTTGTAAAGATTGAATTATTATAATTTGCTTATCTCTTTCAAAGTGCGTTGTTTAGACTTGGCATGCTTCTTCAATTTTTTCGTGCTTTGGCTGTTTGTTTTTGTTTTGTTTGATGCTCTTGTGATATTTTTTGTTGGTATGTTGCTTTGATTTTTGTTGATGTGTGTTTTTGAGTTTGGGTTCTTTGATGATTTAGAGTGTTGCTGTTTTGTTGGTATGCTTGTTTGAATTATTTAATGTTGCATGCTGTGATTAAATATTTTTGTTGCTGGTTGTGATTATTTATTTTGTTTGCTTGTTGTTCTGGATTTTGTTTTCTGTTTGTTGTGTTGCTGTTGGAGAAAAAATAGTAGAAAGAATAATTCTTTGAATTCTCCTTTTACTATTTTTTTGGGGGGGGGTCTGGGGTCTGGGGCCGGTTGGGTGGCGCGCATGGGTTTTTTTGGTTGAGGGGGAGGGGTGGTTTGCATTTTTTTGTTTTTGTGTTTTTTCTTCGTTTTTTGAGGGAGAGAGGGGAGGTATGATGGGCAAGACTTTGGGTTGTTTGGGAAGCCAAGCTGTTTGGGGCAGGGGAAACTGGGAAATTCACGAGGGCCAGGGTGGGGCCAAGAAAGCGGAAAGAAACAAAGCAACAAGAAACTCTAGGCAACTCGAAAAAGAGAGGGACACAACTAACAAACCCCAAAACCTGACCTTACATCTGCCAACAATCTTAAAGCACCCTGGAAGACACAAAAAGCAAACGGACCCAATAAGGTCGTTGAAAAAATCGACCTCGGTGCCTGTGCGGAGGGGGAGGATGGCCGGACCATAGGTGTACTTTGCGGTGCGAGTTTGGATGAATAGATACCACCAGGCTGGTTTGAGTTTGTCATTGTCCGGTGAAATCCATTGACTTGTGCAAAAGGGCAACGATTTGGACGCTTCACCCTTGGGTGCCATCATGCGAATTTATGAGGGTGTTCACTATTTGAACACATAAAGCCATGTGGTGAATCAATATTCCTGGCATTTAGTGGAAACATTCGTGGTTTCTCCCACCGGTCATCCCATGTAAACGACTTTCTGCTCAAACCCCATATGAAAATTGTCTCAAAATAGGGGAATCCCCAAAACTGGGTGGAACCCAAACCCGATTCCCGTTTGTCCGAGTGTTTGGGGCCATGGAAACGCCCGAGGCTTGGGTGGCAGCTTGGGGAATCAATCGCATCCTACCCCGGAGGTCTAAGCAGGAAGGTAGCAATAACCCCTGGATAAGCCTTGTGGAGCTCATGTGCTGTTGCCGAACTGGGGAACCTCCATAAGGAATGATAAGGGGAGCTTCCGACAGAACCCCCTACATGATAGGGGAAGTTGTCCAAGGGGATCCCTCGATATTCCACCATTGTAGATCAGGATGAAAGTACACGGCGCAATGCTCTTCGAGTAAGGAGATGATTTAACCAATGTGGGAACTCTGCAATTTGCATTCACCCAACTGTATGAACCCCATGTCAATTGTTATCTATGAGCTTTGGCCGCTTGCGGGATCCAAAAGATTCCCATTCGATTTTTGCCATCCCTTTGAATTGGCAATTCCCAGTGCTTGCCAAGAGAGGTAAGGGGCGACCATCACTTAAGCTGAAAGGGGAAAACCACTCCCTGCTATAGTGGCTTGCCGTGGATCCATTGAGACTGGTTTCAGGTCTTGCAAGCCATCAGCTGACAGGAGGGGAATAGAAACCAACTGGCACACCTCCATCTTCGCTCCCTTCTTACCCGAGAAGTGTGGCTGGTTTCAGGCAAAAAGTCGTCCCAAGCTGATGGATGGATGGATAGATGGATGGGTGGATGGGTGGATAAATGAATAAATCCAGCTGGTTTCATCCACGTCGGTTCAAGCTTCCCAAGCGAGTCTTCTGCCGAGGACCTGCGCTTCGCGGTAGAGCTGCTGGGGGCGCGGCCCAGGTCTGCGCCGGCGGATCGGCCGTTGTGCAGGCGAAGCGGGCGGTCTTGGAGGGCTGGAGTTGGGATTTGAAGCCTTTCTAGGATTTGAAGCTTCGTTTTGAGAGCAAAGTGCGACCTTGGCTGACCTTTCACGAAGAGTTGGCAACGGACGGGGACGCTGCTTTTTCCTCTGCCTTTGGGGCAAGGCCCACAGGAGCGACGTGGAAACAGCCGCAAACGCGCTTGATCTGCGCAAGTCTGGCGCTTCGGTTTGCGCAAGACTGAAGGCAATCGCTGAGGTCAGAGACAGGCAGTTCATGTGAGAGTACAAAGTTGCAAACAACAACAACAACCTCCGCACCAAGAAGGTCTTGGGCTTCCAATCTCCCCAAGCCCAAAACAAAATCGAAGGGACACCCTCGCCTGAAGTGTCGGGCGGATCCATCGAGGATCCAGCAGCTGGACCTGGGGCGCGCGCCGCTGCCCGCAGGCCGTGTCTTTTTTCTTCCTTCTTCTTTTCTTCTTTCTTCCTTTTTTTCCCATGAAACCGTCCAGCTTTTTTTTTTTGGTGAACCTCGAGGTGAGGGGAAGTCGGACTTCCGGGTTGCTGGTTGCTCAAGCGATCCGGGGTCGATGGGCCCAGATCTCGCGCAGCTTTCAGAGAGGTGTCCAGATGGTTTTGGGGGGGTTCGGGATCCTGTGGCAGATGCCGCCTTGGGCTTATTTTTCTTGGGTCCCATGTGTGGTTTAGCTTTATCCTGGGTGTGATTGAAAATCGCGAACCCCCGAAATGAACACGGTAAATCAATGGTTCCGTGCCCCTTGCGGCTGAAACTTGAGTCCCCTCCAGAACTCAAAATTGACCACAGCCAAACCTCAGAAGGGCCTCTTTCAAAAAGATGCATCGCCACATCTGTCTCAAAATGATGGGACCCCCAAGTTTTCCTAGGACCGCAAAAATCATCGTCGGCCCCTGGATCCTCGCCACAGATTCTGTTGTGGGTACATGTCAGAAAATGCAAGCAGTTTCCTTTCAGACGTTTCTAAACTGCAAGATGAGGGTGCACAGTTTCGGCACATGCCCATGAGGGGTTTTGCGATGTGGTGTCATCCAAGTCTTGTCATCCCCATTTCACCGCGCACCAGCGGGCACCAACTGCTTCAACAGCTGACGAATCACGATGAAACCAACAATTGAGTGGATGTTCTTGTGGGATGACTGCTAGGATCTACATGAATCTTTACATTCACCGCTGACCAAAGTAACGAAAGGGGTTTCAGGCAATGCCCAACTAGTGCATCTAGTCGATGAAGTGCTGGCATCGGCTCTCCATTTCTTTATCGCCTCGACAAGTTGACTCGGCCAACATGAAGCAGGCAACAGCTCCGAGCTGCGCCAAACGAAGAAACGAACTTGGCAACACGACAGCACAACTTGCGTGAACCACCGCGGAACCGAAGCCCAATCAACACCAAGCCGATAGATGGGACGGGATGGGGGAAATCTCAGAGAAATACTTGGCTGCCTGCTGACTTTCTGGCCATATCCCACCCTCAGCATCCCAGGTAACCAAAGGTGTTTTGTCGCCTTTTGAAGCCATCCCAAAGGTGTTTAACTAGATGAATATATCATGGATGGTGTTTTCGTTATCTTCATTCTATTGCTGCATCATTTGTCTTTCTTTTTATATATGTCTACATCTTCCCCTCGGGTTTCCGTTTAGAACCTATCCCCCGAACGAGCTGCCGGAGGAACTTCCTCGGAACGGAGCGCCTCGCGCTCCGTTCAGGCGGCCGCGCGGAGGGCACCGCGCAGGCGGCGGCGCTGGGGGTCTTCCTGCGCAGCTGCTCGCAGCTCTCCGAGCTGCGCCTGGAGGGCCGCTCGAACGCCGCGGAGCGAACGAATCGAAGCGAAAGGATCTCGCCGAGATTGTGCCGAGGTCGCGAAACCCGAAAAGGAGGACACTTGACTGCTAGTGGGCTGGAGCTTGAGACTTTAAGCTTTTGGGGGATATCACGGGGGTTGCCACTAAACCCACAAAAGTTAAGCTTTTTGCGGAAGGGGTAACAGCAACCAAGGACAGTTCCAGGAGTTCCCGGAAAAAAGGTATGCAAGATGGGAAGGGTGTTTTTCCTCTACACAGAAGGGGTGAAGGGCCTCGCTGTGCCTTGCGAGGTCCGGAACTGGTGGATTGTTGCACCTTTTGAGGACTTTGTGGTTAATCATCGAAAAATCAACCGTCTGCGGACTTTGGGGGGTCGCATCGCTCTGGCTGTGGCGCCGTGGGGATTTCCGACATCGAAGGTGAACCCTCTGCGGACTTCAGCTCGGAGCGCGCTCGTGTTGCGCTGTGCAAGTTGCAATCCTCCAAGCACAGGACCTGCGTTTCTCTTGCAAGGGAGAATGCAGAGGGTGCTCTTTACAGATCCTTGACAGACAGCTTTAGTATATATAGTGGCTCTCATGGATCCTGCGCGCAGATCTTGCCAAGAGATCCTATTCCTCCCAAAGGAATCTTGCGCTGGTCCTTCATAGGGATCTTCTCAAGAGGTCTTGCGCAGGACCTGCAAAGATTTCCTTCCAAGTATCTCTACAGATGGGACTGGCGTTTATTGCACTGAAATCCACGCTTTTGCGCTTTCAAAGACAACTCCTCTTAAAGAAGAAGGCCCCCATTGACCCTCCCTCTTTTTAAATGGCTTGAAGGAAACCCCTAGCCAGCTTAGACCGTGCCTCCTCTTTAAAGGCTTTCACAGTATCCCGGCAAGCAACCCCAAACAGTAGTCAAAAATGATCAGAAAACAGGATCCATCCAGAGAGGTCCTGTCCTTCCTGGCAGCTTTCTCAGAGAAATCTTGGCGGAACGTCTTTCCACAAGAGATCCTCTATAGGTGCAAGACCTTCTATAGAGACCCTATGTGGTCATTTTAGGAATTCCTGTACAAAAGCAAGTGAGCATTTGCTGCGGCCACTTTCACGTTACCTGCGTGGGTTCCCTTGCTGGATCTGTGAATGGGATCTCTTGCGCAAGCTCTGTTCAAGATGCACAACGTTGTTGGGGCATCCATTATTTCTGATTGGGCATGATTCACCCGGAGACCGCTGGTCACGAGCACATGTTTTGCAATGCCCACGGTGACGTGTTTTTGGTCCAGTGGATGATGGGTTGCTTCAAGGCCTGCTGGCCTCGACAGGGGAGCGGTCGCTTGTTTCAAGGGCTGGGTTTTGGGATCCGGATGCCTAGGGCATGTTGATGTGCCCCTGGAGCCATCCATGCATTGGCGACAGATTCCAGAATTTTCAAAACATAAAGTTTGCTTTATTTGCAGGCGTATTGCCCCAGCGCCACAAATAAGCTTGACACGCCGGACGATCCTTCCCAGACTCAGTTTCTTGGGTTGATATGGGGCAAAGGCAGGTCTTTCCTGGCCATCTCTCTTCCATCTGACTGAAAGCAACAGTCATCTTCTTAGGTGGAAGGGTCTTGCTACATTCTTTGCGTGGCTTCTTCGATTTAACAACTTGGTGAACATTTTAGTTTTTGTGAGGAGGCCCTTGCAGACCTACGACGAGCGGGGCTTGTCTCCCACTCTCTTTGGCGGCCTTTGGTTTTCCATCAAGACATGAAGAAGCAGCAAGCAGCCATTGGAAGGTTCTTTTTCCTGACCTAGGTTACCCTCCCTACCAACACGGACGTCCACTGGACACTTTCTTTACTTCCGGGTACAAGTGTGGACACAGTGCCTTGAGGCAGCGCGCACTTGTGCACGCCAGCTGCACTGGATGCCATTACAGTCAGCCTGGGGGACCTACGCCTACCCCTCAGGATGGCCGGGAGATGTTTGCTTGCGATAGCCAGGAGTCCAGGAGACGTGGTTCATGTGTGTAGTTTTGTTTGTTGTTCTTAAATGAACTAGAACAGGCCCCCTGGTTTTGGGACAGTTTTGTGAAACGGGGCCCCCGCGTTTGTTTTTTGGCGCGCATCCACGGGAGTTTGAGAACGGACCTTCGCCTGGCTGGGGTAGTCCTTCGCTCCGACCAAGGGGGTTCCAACTGGTTTCATGGTTTCATTGGGGGGCTCCTGAAGCGGGGGGCCATGATTAGATTGGGCTGTTGGGGTACTTTGAAGACACAATTGATCATGATTGCAAGAGCAAAATAATGACAAGCTATTCGATTGTAGTACTCTGCCCAGAAGTGTGGAAGTACATTTGGACCGTTGCCGGTGATTTTTTGCCTTCAGCCGTCCTGGCGAGGGGACGTAGCCCGTGAAAGCGATTTGTGTCTCGTTGGGTGCCGTGATTTTCAATGGCTGGAAGACCCTTAAAATGGTTGGTCAACATAAATCCTCATGTAAAACGATGTTTAGCCAAGCGTCCCCGATTAGAGCTCAGTAAGCCGCGATTGAAAGCGCGACCTTTCGGAAGGTTTTGGTTTGACAACCCACGATGAAGGTTGGTGGGCATTGGTTTGTGCCCAGAACTCAAGCTCTGAAGATGTGAATTCACGTATCAATTGCTCACCTGCCACCTGCCTTCCCCCCACGAAACGTTTCACCTCGCAGCTGGGGATCGAAATGCATGGCTGACCTGGGGTGCCAGCGTGGTTTTGCCTTGGACCCCTCAAGCTGGAAGTGACGAAGCTGCGAAGAAACGCTTCGGCTCCGTTGGTTCGAGTGAGATTTGGGGTATGGCCCCTTTCTCGGCAAAGAGCTCAAGGTTGAGTCAGCGAAAGACATTTGCGCGGTTGTACGAGTGGAAGAAAATGGGAAGGCCCAGCCTGGGCACCAATGAAAAGGGGAGCCAGGGTGACCCATTCCAAATCTCATTCCCCCCCGAAGAAAAAACAAAAAGAAAACAAAAGAAACAAAGCACAAAACAAAAGAAGAACAGAAAACAGAGCACTCCCGTTCCCCAAACTACCAATTCCATTCCCCAAAACAAGGGGGGGAATCGAATTTCCACAACCACGGCAACTACCCCCCTCCCCCCACAAAAAAGGGAAGAAGATAAAAAACACATGAAAACTGATTAGAACAACAAACAAAACACACAAAACAACAAACAAAAAGCAAACACGAACAAACAACCAAACAACAACCAAACAACAAAAATCAAACAAAAAAGAGGGGAACCCAGGACCGACGGGAGCGCCTCGCCGCCTTTTTCGCCTCAGGGCGCTGCTCTTCGGCGGCTGCAGCGTCTCTTCGGAGGCAGCGGCGCCCTTGGGCCCGGGGCCCCGAGGTCCCGGCGACCGGTGGCCGGTGGCCGGTGACCGACGCCCCCCAAGAGAAAAGGCGCAGGCGAAGAAGCCGCGGACAATTTCCCAGGCCATCCGGTTGCTTAGGTTTGTTTTGCTCTTGGGGTTCAGTGAAAGTTGGACTTTGAGCTGGGGAGCTGGGAGCAGCCCAGTGGATGGGTCCCTTTTCCCTTGCCAAAGTATGGTTTCGGATCTCCGAGGCGAGACATGGATCATTTGTTTTGATTTCAGAGTTTCTTTGGGTGAGTTCCTTTGGCAGGCTCCATAAAGGGGCACCCTGAAGTTGCCACATGATGAACCCTTGTGTTTGGAGCTGGTACCTTACTTTTCATTGCGTGCGCAAAAGCGTGCGGGCCATGTTTGCTTAAACATCGTTTCAACCGTTTGTACCGTCTGCACTGTTTACCCAATGTAGACCGGTTATACTGCCTGCACCGATTATATGTTTGTACACCACCGAGCTTCTGCAGGCAGCGTAAGAAGTGCAGGCAGCACAGGTCAAACAGCGCAGGAAGCAGACACAGCACAGGCAGGGTAAACAGTCCAAGCAGCGCAGCGGGGTGAGGGTGGAAGAGAGCGAGAAGCCGTACGAGCGTGTGATATCTAGCTGAACAGCATAACAGCGTAGCAGGGCGGCAGCGTGACAGCGCAACAGCAAGCTCGTGATTGCGTGACACGGTTAGCACGCGCCTCTGTTTGGTTGTTTTCAAAAGGAAGCCAGGAAACCCAAGCAAGCTTTGGAGACAAACCTGAGATCTTGCCCCTGGCGTTGTGAGCATCCGTAGTGCCAGCGACTAGCGACTGCAGATTGGGCGAGCTGGATTGCCGCCGACTGGATTTCTTCTGGGCATGATGGCTTGAGATCTTCAGGTTGTGAGGGTCTTGTTGTGGTGCGTCGGTGAAACCGTCGGCGAGCACGTTTGCATCTTGAAGTTTGCATTTTTGGTCGCTGTTGTGGGGAGAGGCGGGTTAGAGCATGGACGAAATTGGATGCTTGTCCCATGTTGTACATGTCATAGTGTCTCTGGCATTCAGTGCATGATGCTGGAAGGCCTGAAGGAATTTCCAGTTTCTTTGGAAAGTGTTTTCTCACATGCAGCCATCCGTCCAGCTTGTCAAGCAGTGCCTCTCTCCGTTCCTTCTGGAAGACATGGCTCCCATGAAGGCGACCAAGGTCATGAAGGCGATGAAGACTGCCAAGGCCATGACCAAGGGAGGCATCGTGAGTGAGTTGGCCTCGGCGACGGACTTGAAGAAGTCTGACGTGTCGCAGCTTCTTGGTCAGCTCTCAGAGATTGGAGCAAAGGAGGTGAAGAGCACCGGGAAGTTCGTGATTCCAGGGCTTTGCATGATCAAGACCCGCCAGAAGCCAGCCACGAAAGGTGGCAAGCGCATGATGTTTGGCCAGGAGGTATCGATCAAGGCTCAGCCTGCCAAGACCGTCGTCAAGGCATTCCCAGTCTCGGCTCTGAAGAAGCAGATCTAGGGGGCTGCTCAGAATGCTGCGGCTGCGAGTTGCTAGGCGGTCTTTTGGGGTGCTGATCGATGGGGTTTGGCGAACAGCGCCCAGCAGACTGAACTCGACCTTGTATTGTATGCCACCATTTGCGGCTTCCTAAGTTGTACAAGAGACACGAAGGCAAAAAGGGGCGGGTGAATGCGGCCATTGGGATCTTTGAGCAGATGGTGAGGGTCTTGTTGTGGTGCATGGCTGCTTGGCTGCTTGGATGAAACGGTTTGCGAGCATGTTTCCATCTTGAAGTTCGCTTTGTTGGCCACCATTGTGGGGAGAGGTGGCTCAGAGCATGGCTGGCGGTTGGTGCCGACTTGAAGTGTTCGAGTGAACTTGGTTCTTGGATATTGGAGCTTGGGTGTACATGTGTTTTCCGGTGTTGTAGACGTCATAGTGTCTCTGGCATTCAGTGCGTGATGCCTGAAGGCCTGAAGGAGGTTCCAGTTTGTTTGGAAAGTGCTTTTTCGCATGCAGCCATCCGTCCAGCTTGTCAAGCAGTGCCTCTCTCCGTTCCTTCTGGAAGACATGGCTCCCATGAAGGCGACCAAGGTCATGAAGGCGATGAAGACTGCCAAGGCCATGACCAAGGGAGGCATCGTGAGTGAGTTGGCCTCGGCGACGGACTTGAAGAAGTCTGACGTGTCGCAGCTTCTTGGTCAGCTCTCAGAGATTGGAGCAAAGGAGGTGAAGAGCACCGGGAAGTTCGTGATTCCAGGGCTTTGCATGATCAAGACCCGCCAGAAGCCAGCCACGAAAGGTGGCAAGCGCATGATGTTTGGCCAGGAGGTATCGATCAAGGCTCAGCCTGCCAAGACCGTCGTCAAGGCATTCCCAGTCTCGGCTCTGAAGAAGCAGATCTAGGGGGCTGCTCAGAATGCTGCGGCTGCGAGTTGCTAGGCGGTCTTTTGGGGTGCTGATCGATGGGGTTTGGCGAACAGCGCCCAGCAGACTGAACTCGACCTTGTATTGTATGCCACCATTTGCGGCTTCCTAAGTTGTACAAGAGACACGGAGGCAAAAAGGGGCGGGTGAATGCGGCCATTGGGATCTTTGAGCAGATGGTGAGGGTCTTGTTGTGGTGCATGGCTGCTTGGCTGCTTTGTGAAACGGTTTACTAGCACGTTTCCCTCTTGAAGTTTGCTTTTTTGGTCACCCTTCTGGCAAAAACAAGGGGGTTCAGAGGGGGTCATGGTCAGGGCTGCAGGGCTGCAGGGCTTCAGCACGACTTGCGTTTCTTCGGTGCCCAAGGCCGGCTGCTGCGGCGGTGCCCGCGCCTGGCGCGGCTGAGTCTGGCCGGGGCCCGGCGCCTGGGGCCCGGGCTCGGGACGTTGGCGGAGGCGTGGGCGCGAGGCGCCGGGAGTCGTGGGGGCGTTGGATGGGGGTTGGACCTATCCCCCCCCCACTCCCCCCAAAAACAAAAAAGAAGGAGGCGGGTTGTTCTTTTGGTTTCTCCTTAAAAACCTCCCAGAAAAGAAGGTTTCCTCAAAAAGAGAACACCCAAATGGATGGGGTCTTTTCCCGTTCAGCAAGGCCAAAAAGGGTGGCCTTGAAATCGGGGTCCCCATTTTTGCAGTCCTTGAGGTGAGCTATTGCAGCACAAAATGGGGTCGCCTTTTTGGGGAACAAAAACACAAGCAAGCTAGCGATTGGGGATTTCCTAGTTTGAGAAACACCCAGATGGCAGGGTGCTGGGTAGTGATTGGGGGCGTTGGGATTGGAGTGAGGTTCGGTGAACACATCCTATCGGCGTTCTTCTTTTTGAAAGGGGGGTGGTGGGGTTGGACACTGAGGTGGGGTTGGGGTAACCTTGGCTGACTTTTGACGTGGAGATGTCCAAGTCAAAAGGGAATCTAGTGCATCAGTACGAGCCTCTTACGGGTTAATTGCTTTTGCAGCAACAAATGTTTGCACGATATGCACTTATACACGTACAATCATATGTGGATATATGGTCAAAGAATCACATGTCTGTATATGTATTTGTGTACGTATATGCATATGTATATGTATATGCATATGTATATGTATACGCATGTGTGTATGCATATATATATATATACACATACACACGTGTTCACGTGTTTTGGTAGGCCTGGCTCTAGTTATGGCCACCCTAAGTAAGTGGGTGGGAACTCTGCAGTCCCCCGTTGAACATCAAAACTACACGGTCCATTTTCAAATTGGGAGGGGAATTGGGGGGATTCTCCAAATTTTTCCACACACACCAGGGGAGTTGCTCATTTCTTGGTGTGCTTGATGGTAGCTGCACATGTGACCGTGGCTGTGGCTCATTTCAGGCCATTTCAGCACCCAGAGTTAAGCCAGAGGAGGGAAACCTTGTGGGGATGGAAGGTTTGCAGAAGGTTGCCAATCTGAAGCATGGTTGCTCAGAGTATAGCCGGTTTCCAGAAAGACCACAGAGGTGCCCTGAGGTTAATTCGGTTGAACATTAGCTGTGGGTTTGGTTTGGTTCCAATGACTACCGCGATCTACATGGAGTGAGGCCCATTCAAGGGCTCATTGACACATACCAAAACTTGGGATGGCTTTTGAACAGCTCGTTGCGCCATGTTTTTTGTCCAAAACGGCAATCGCCTTCCTCGCCGTTCATCGTTCTAGTTCTTTTTCTGCCCAAAACGCAGAGCCTTCGCCGTTGTTCCGCGCTTTTTCCAGGGGAGACGCTGGCGGTGGAGGAGCTGGTCTTCAGCAACTGCGGCCTGGACGAAAGCTCCGCGCCCGCGCTCGGCCAGCTGCTGAGGCAGGCGGTTCGCGGTTCCATTTGCTGAAGAATATTTCTATGTTACTCTGGTGGTTTTAAAGTTGGAATCTACCACTACTGGACAGTTTTTTTTTCCAGGGGGCTTAAGCAAATGGCAGTCGGCGAGCGACGCGGGTTGGATGCGGCTGGGTTGGGAGCGGCGTGTCGCAGGACGCGGCGCGGTTTTCGCGAAGCCATGAGATGCGGGTTGGGAAAGATTTCCGGCCGCGAGATGGAGCAAGGGCCTGGGAGGGGCAGCTTCTTCAATGCAGACTGGATTCGGGAATGGGGGGGGGTTGGGCTTTGGGCTGGGAAACGTTTGGGAAGCCGACTTGATGGCATGTAAAATAGCGAGCTTCACCAATCACAGGGTGGAACGGATCTGTTCTGCGCCTTGAGGCAGTGCCAGCGCTTGGTCCATCTGGTTCTAGATGGCAACAAGGCGGGAGTCCGAACCTCACAAGTGGACATGCATCACTTACATGCCATCCACAGGAGGGAACTGGCTGAAGGCTATGCGGGTGCGATTTGCCAATCTTAGCGTAAAGGCCTATTGCTTTTTCACAAGCATTGCCCCTACTTTCATGGCTAGGTGTGTTTTTTTGGACAAACTCCTCCACCCCCCAGCCGAATCTCAGTACAGCCAACCCATGTCCCCGACATGGGAAACCCGCCTTCGTCAGCTTCCAAATTCATACAGATTGGTCTCTGCCAAAGGCAGGCGGTAGCTTTGCTGGGTACCTCAATGGAGGCGAACAGGAGGTCCTTGGGGACCATCCACAAAAATACATCCAGCAAACATGCTACCCACCTTTCAGGGGCCCCAATGAGCTGCAAAGGGTGGGAAGACATGGCTTTTGAGGTTGATTTCCTTTGGTCCCACGGGGCTGGAAGGACCTAGTTATGCGATTGAACAATCCTTCACGTGTGTGTTCCCCGGTGTACTCAACAAGTCCGGCCTTCGGCATCCTTGGGGCCATGTTCCACGTCTAATCCCTTCCCCTTGACAATCAAGGGAACCTCCCCCCTCCTCATGAACAAGTGTTTTCCCTTAAAAACAACAGGTTTTATTGTTGCGTCGCCTGGTTTTCAGTTTTGTCGTGCCAGGGACCAGCTTCAGTTGTAGCACAAAGCGCACTTTCCTTCCCTGGTCAAGAACAGCTTAAGGAAAAACGCGTTCGTAAGCAAGGGACTTTGATGGTTCAGACTCCCCTGGCCCTGGGATTCGTTTTAGGGGAGCCTTTATTATTAGGAGGGAAAAAAGGGAAGGACCAGCTTCTTCCTTTGGCCTTTTCGTCGGGAGGCTAAGACTTAGTTGAACAGATGCCCTTGCTGGCCTTCCTTTTTTTTTCTTCTTCATTTGTTGGAGTAGCGCGCGTAGCTGCAAACTGCGCTGTGTCTGTTTTGCTGGGAACCCCCTCCGGTTGTTTCGAGGGCGCAAGCAGCCTCATTTGGGGAACCCTCTTTTGGCATTAAAGGCAAATCAACCGAAAACCAACCGTTCGGTTTGGGGGCAGTTTTCTAGCTTCGAGACAACCCCATGAGGCAGATCAAAATAGGGATTTGGAAACGACAACCATTGGGCTTTGGTTTCCCAGTTGCTTTCCCTTCCAAACCCTACAGACGGGTCCCAACTCAAAAAACAACACACCCAACTGAACAAAGCACGAGAGCTCGTTCGAGAGAAGACCAGAACAGAAGGGGGGGCCCCTCATTTTTATGACTTGCTCTCAAATGGCTACGCATTCTAATGAGCAACCCCCTCAATAGTGGTTGGTGGACATAAAACCCCACCAAAATGATGTCCACCCAAGGGTCCCCCAAGAAAACACAGCCAAATATTCGGGTACCGACTCAAAGACGAATGCAGAGCTGAGGCGCTCTTCCGAGCTCCGTCGCTGGTGGGGCTGCTGCGGGGCCTGGGCGACGAGGGCGGGGCCTGGGGGGTGGAGTGGGTTGGGTCCGCGGGTTTGAGGCTTGAGAAGGGTTTGGTTGGTTTTGGCAGTGTGTTTTGTTGTTGGGGGGGGGGGGCGGGGGCTGGAGGGTTGCGGTCGTTTTTCTTTGCTTGGGATGGTGCCCTGTTGACTCTTTGTGGCCCATTGGTTGAAACATCCGCGAGCTGCCTGAAGGGCGTCTCACCTCAAGAAAGCGGGCGAAAGGGGGCATCTGGATCTTTCTTTGTTTCCTGTAAAAGGAACTCCGCAGTTCGTAGTTGTCTTTTTGTTCTCGGCTCGTTGATTCGCATCTTCGCACTCCTTTTCTCGGGTCACTCGCTTCGGAACCCGAGCCGCCAGCCGCAAGGCCTGCCGGAGTTGCGGAGTTTGGTGGCGTACGACCTTGCCGTCATGGACGAGGCTGCGGCGGAGGCGGGGTTGAAATTTCGGGTGTCGCTACTGGTGTTGGATGTCTGATGCCGCTTGAACTCCACAAACGGCGACCTGCGAGCGGTTTGGAGCGACGGCCTGGGGCATTGCGGGGACCAAAGCTGACCTGGGGCTCCGCCCGTCCAATGGCAGTGAGAGCTTTTGCATGTCAGCATGCATACGATCAGGGGATAAGCGACTGGCAGTGTTCCGTTTTGGGGTTGGTTGAGTTGGGTGAAGTCGGGGCATGGTGTGGTTGAAACAAAAGCTGCTCCGCGCTTTTGACTGGCCTGCGGCTCGGCCGGGGCTGTGGTTCAGCATTGGGCCCACCTTGCTTGCCAGACGTAGCTGGCTTCGTGTCACTTTGCGCCTTTTGGATTTCCTTCATTGTCCCTTTCAGCCGAAAAGTTTGAGTTGTTGCAGGTCTCAGTCTGGCTTACCTTGCCTGGCTTACATGCTTCAAACATGTGCGGCAGTCACGGTCAACCCGTGGGCGCTTTTGCACGCATATGCCTCTTGTTGTTCAAGGTTTTTCCCTTCAGCCACCACCCAAAACAGTCTTTTGCTCTTCAACCGCCAACCAAAACGGGGCTTTCCCCTTCAACCACCAAGCAACGGAGCCAAAAGAGGTTGTACCTTGGACCACCAAAAGGGGATCGTCCAATGAAGTCCTTCAGGCCTTCGACCGCTTCGTGAACCGCTGCTCTGCGCTGCGCGGTGAAGTAGCTGCGGGCGGCCTTTAGATCAGGAGGGTTCCATCCCCAATTCTCCGTTATACTAAACTGCCGAAGTGGTCCAAAGGGTCATTGGCATTTGAAAAGTGGAGCAGTAAAAGTGAAATCCATGGCAGGGAAAAAGAACAGGTGATGCTGACCTGGGTTTTTGTTCAAGCATCAGGCTTGCAAACAAATCAGCTTGCCAAGGGCAACCTTTACTGTGACTATGCCCTCGAACGCGACGCTTTTGGCTGGACTTTTCCAACCGCAGTGTCACACGTGGCGAGTTGACAATAGGACAAGGCGGCAAGGACCAGGTCAACGTCACAGTGCCAAATTATGCAGGCAAGAACTGCCCGTTTTTGTCTTTGACCTGCTCAAGAACGAGTGCACTACATCACCTCGCCCATTGGATCCTGGGGGAGAGAGCCAAACTTCCTTAAATTCAAACAACACTTGACAATGACCATGACCAGTGCCTGCAGCTCAGCGTCAAATAGCGTCAGCCACTTTCCTAGCAGTAATGTCCCGCTGTGCACAAGCGCCTTTTGTTGGCCAGTGAAGGAACCATTGTCATGCCGCGAGACAAGCCCTTGGCGCAACCATCTTTTATATCTTTAACAAGTAGGTTATATGTTCAGTGTGAGCATCTTGGGAGGTGCCTGCAGACCCTCCTGGGACCCTCCTAATGTAGAGCTGATGCCAGCTTTGGGACAACACTGAGCGAGGCATCAGGAGAGTGACCGTTGGCCGCCGGCCAAAGTTGTTGAACATCGTCGCCAGAAGTGGCGATCGATATTTTCGGCCATTCGTGCCATGGCCGAAAGACTGCTGAGTTGGCGCGAAGGATGTTGGTGGGGTTCCTTGACATTAAAGGGGGGTTCCCGGGCAAGACCATGACCCACAAAGCAAGTGTGGATCAACATCTATGTTACATCCATTTAAAAAAAATAAATAATAAATAAAACAATGTAAGATATATGAATATATAACGATGAAGCAACAACATATTGAAAACGAATTTTGAGCCATGGCAGATTTGTGTTTGAGCCGCTTGAACGAGCCGTTTTTTCTCCCTTCTTGCCAGGCCTTCGACAAGCGACTCTGCCCCCTGTACCACTCCGTGGTGGAGGCCGGTCGAATGTTCAGATTCCAACTCAAACTTTTGGGTCTTGGACCTATTACCTTAAGAGTAGATAAGTGCCAGGGCAACTGGGGAAAGGACCGTGCCACGAGAGGCCCGAGGCGCAACAAAGGTCTGTGTTCGGACCTTTGGAGGTTGGTAACGCAATGCTCCCTACGCCTGTGTGCATCAAGCTCGCTGCTGTGCCAAAGGCGATTCACAGTACTTGCATGTCCCCTACAGAAGAGCACGGCAGGCCAGATGCAGATGTCCGCAACGCCTGTCACATATCTTGACCGACTGAAACACAAGACACATGTTTCCAGCTTCAACCTGCCCTTGCAAATTGGAGGATCCCGGCAATTTATGCCCCTTTGAAAGGTTTTGGATGTCGAAGCCGGCCCAAATCATTTCAGGCCACTTGCTTTGCTTCCCAGACCACGACTTGGTTTTCTCGGTGGCTTTGAGGAAACTCGGGGGCTGGGGGCGTTGGGGCCGCCGTTTTGGCAGTTGATGGAGAACCAGCTGCTGCAGAGAGCAGCGGGCGACTCTGAGGACGGGAGGGAGGTGTGGGAGGTGCATGCGCCGGCACGCCACAACAAGCTGCCGTTCTTGGGGGACCATTCCCATAGGCGTCCTTTTTAGGTTAGCTTGGTTAAAAACATAGATGGCACTGGTTTGGATGGTTTCTGTTCCATTTACCAGGGCCATCTATTTTTAACCAAAAAGGCCACCTATAACCATTCCTTATTTTCCCGATGAAGGCAGAGCCGAAGGCCGGAAGAGTGAAAAACCAAAGGACAAGGGGTTGGAGCACACTTTTGTTCGCCTGGTGTTTCTCTTTCTTGTTTGTTTCTCTCACTCTCTCTGGCCCGCAAAAGTGAAAACCGTAGGAAACCACAGGACCCACCTTTTGATGGTTGCTCAAGCTGAAGAACGGAAAACAGAAGGAATACGAGGTCGACCCAACATTGTTGTAGCCACAAATTGTTGATGGTCGAGCCACGCGAAGTGCGCAGAGGGTTCAGCGATGCAAACTTGTGGAGCAGTGCGCGTGGCCGTGCTAATGGGACCGTTGCCGCACCTGTTCCGAGCCGGCTCCGAGACCGCCTCCGTCAGCGTCGCGACTGGTTCGCGCACATGGGAAAGGGCCGAATTCACCCACAGGGCCATGTTTTCGGCCCTCTTCTCTTTCCCAGACCTCCCGCTTCTCAGTTTTTGCGTAGCGAGGACTTGTGATGGCAAGA